TAGCTAACGAACCCCTCTATTCAATGATGTTTGCATGGCTAAATTATTCTTGAAATCATATTCTCCCAAAGCTCTTGACCAATACATTAAACGTGTTTCGCGCAACTTTGCTTTTTGGGCCCGTTCGGACTCGTCCAAGCTCGAAATCGATTTTTGCTTCTTCTTATATGTCGCCAATGAACCCTTCTACTCAGCCATGATTGCCCGGTCAATTTTGGGGCTAAATCTATTTCTCACGGGCTAAATAATTAATAAATCACTCATTATGTAAATAGATGGTCCATGGAGGATTTGTTAATTATTTAGCCTCGTGAGGAATAGATTTAACCAAAAAATTGATCAGACAATCATAGTTGTGTAGACGGATTCGTCGGCGACATATAGGAAGAAACGAAACTCAACTACAAGCTTGGACGAGTCTGAACGGGCCCAAAAAAACAAAGTCGCACAAAACACGTTTAATGTGTAGGTCAAGAGCTTTAGGAAAATATGATTTCAAGAATAATTTGGTCATGCATGCATCATTGAATAGAGGGTTTTGTTAGCTACGTATAGGAAAAAAACGTAACTCATTCCGAGCTTAGACGAGTCCAAACGGGCATTGTCGTTCGCGGTCACGGCGTTTTTTACCTCCACCAATGTTGGTAGCGGGTTGATGCCTCGCTCTGTGTGACTGTGTACTCTAGGATGAGACGTAGTCCTCCTCGGATATAACTTGACTGAACGACGCCCCTTGTGTGACTTCTTGGCCTTCAACAGTCAGAGAACTATAGTTACTCTCCCAGATGAGTGCACAGAAGATCAACATATTTGGATGTATAGGGTGTGGATCTTCTGTTGGAACATACGTGAAGTCCCCTTGTCTGATAAGGTTCTCCGTCAGTTTGGGTGTCAGCAGTCCATCCCCCAAAATCCGATAATTAGTGGTGAGCAAGAATGGGAGACACACCACAGAGGCCGTGGAATGACTGGGAGGGCATTTGGTGATCGGGCCGCCTTTCATTCACAACTTACCAAGGGATGAGTCGATGAAAGAAAACAAAATATCCTCCAAGATGCCCATGTGGATCACTTCCTACAGGCTGAGTAGGGTTACATTGATTGGTTTTACACTAGGACTGTGAGGCTTATCAGTGACCCTACCAAGTATACGGTGGTCAAACAGGACGTCGGCTATCAGACAGTTGCCGAGTGGGAGAAGTGCGATGTAAGTGTTCATAATTTGTGGTTTTTTTTTATTATTTCTTTTTTTTTGGTGTTTCATACTAATTACTTCGAATTTTATTTTTAGACTCAAGCCCTGGAGGGGGTTTATAACTCGTTAGCGAATATTCAAGACATATTTCCGATACTCCCTCCACAAACCGCATTTCAACAGTCATACAACATTGCCTATAGTTATCTGACCAACGGTCCTACAACATTACCTATAGTTCTCTGACTGCTGGAGGCCAAGAGGTCACACAAGGGGCATCGCTCAGTCAAGTTCTATCCGAGGAGGACTACGTCCCATCCCAGAGTACACAGTCACACAGGGCGAGGATGCCGTGACCGCGAATGACAACAACACCCGTTCGGACTCGTCAAAGCTCGGAATTGAGTTTCGTTTTTTCCTATCCGTAGCTAACGAACCACTCTATTCAATGATGCATGCATGGCCAAATTATTCTTGAAATCATATTCTCCCAAAGCTCTTGACCTACACATTAAACATGTCTTGCGCGACTTTGCCTTTTGGGCCCATTAGGACTCATCCAAGCTCGAAATTGATTTTCGCTTCTTCCTACATGTCGCCAACGAACCTATCTACACAACCACGATTGCTCGGTCAATTTTTGGGTTAAATCTATTTTCACGGGGCTAAATAATTAACAAATCACCTATTAACAAATCCTCCGTGGACCATCTATTTGTATAATGGGTGATTTGTTAATTATTTTGTCCGTGAGAAATAGATTTAGTCCAAAAATTTACCGGGCAATCATGGTTGTGTAGATGGATTCGTTGGCGATATATAGGGAGAAGCGAAAATCAATTTCGAGCTTGGACGAGTCCGAACGGGCCCAAAAAGGAAAGTCGCACGAAACACGTTTAATGTGTAGGTCAAGAGCTTTGGGAGAATATTATTTCAAGAATAATTTGGTAATGCATGCATCATTAAATAGAGGGGTTCGTTAACTATGTATAGGAAAAAACGGAACTCAATTCTGAGTTCAGACGAGGCCAAACGAACCCAAAACACATACTATATATTAATTTTTTTATTCATTAATTTTAAAATTGTAAACGTATTATCAAAATACGTTTAAGTTTTTAATTGTTTGTAAAGCAAATACGTTTTACAAATAATTAAAAACTTAAACGTATTTTGATACTACGTCATAGTTTTTAATTATTTGTTTAGTGCTTAATTATTTGTAAAACGTATAATCAAAATACGTTTTATTTATTAATTTTTTTCAAAACGTATTATGTGAATACGTATTATTCTAATTTAACAGTAAAACGTATTCCGAGAATACGTTTTACATTTTAAAACGTATTCTCATAATACGCCCTTTTTATTTTTGTCTACATTTTTTTTTTTTTGTTTTTATTTTTGTCTACTTAATTTTTTTTATTTTTGATTAAATAAATAAGTCAATAAAAAGTATTCTTTAAAGAAATTGCATGGCTGACTTTAAAATTAACAAAATCTTTTAAAGCCAAAGAAATATACCATGAAGACAAAACTTTGCGTTCTTTTTACTCCTTTCAAACTATATTATCATTACTATCAAATTGCTTTTCAAAATTGTGCTAGGTAAAATTAGGGCTGTCATTTTTTGACTGAAAATCGAATACTGAACCAAATCGAACCGACGAGAAAAAAAACCGAACCGTACCGACTCTAAAACATCGGTTACCGATATGTTATCGGTTCGGTATCGGTTCTGAAACTATAAAAGTACGGTTTTACCGAGCCGAACCAATAAGTAATTAAAAAAAAACTTAGTATTAGTAGTTAATAATTTAATACTAATAATTAATAACTTGGTACTAATAAAATAACTTAGTACTAATAAATTAGTAATTCAAGTACTCACCTTGACCCATTAACAAAGAAAAAAACATCGGCCCTTTCTTTATGAAATTTAATAGATGAGGTTCTTGTAGTTTAATTTTATTATAATTAGTGTTATTTCATTCAAAATATAATAACAATATTTTTATTTTGTTTATGCAATCTTTTTTCTTATGTAGGAGGAGTAGCGGATTGGAATTTGGAGCGATTGGTGATATTGGACTTGATGTTGTTGCGTTAGTTTATTTAATTTTCTTAATCATGTTGGAACTTTGAATTATGAAATGTTGTTATTGTTGGATTTTTGGACTTAATCATATTGGAACATGGTGGATGAAGGTTTGTTCTTGCAAGTTGTATTATTGGTAGATGAATGTTGGGTATTATTGGTGGATGAATGTTGGAATGTTGTTATTATTGGAATGTTGGACTTAATCATGTTGGAACATGGTAAATGAATGTTGGAACTTAATCAAGTTGCATTATTATTGGTAAATTTCAGTTTTTTCGGTAAAAAACCGTTACCGAACCGAGCTTAATCAAATTACATATTTATTGGTAAATTTCAGTTTTATCGGTAAAAAACCGATACCGAACCGAGTTTTATTTGTAAAAAACTCGGTTACCGATAACTATCGGTACGGTATCGGTTTGGTCGTATCGGTTCGGTAACCGAACCGATACCAACCCTAGGTAAAATCCTTCTATAAATAGTACAATGTAGTATCTCTCATGGCATCAACCAAAAACCATGAATATGTCTCAAATTATTTATTCAAGATTCCTAATTTATGCTTAGAGTTTGCTCATCAATGACACAAATCTAAAGGTTAAAATGAATAGCTACATAGATGTAATAATAACTGGCGTCAATCCTTCGAAAATCCCTTTAAAAATGGCACCTAAAAAAGTGTACCTAAAATATATTTAACCAAATATGTTGATGTAGACAGAATTAACAAATAAACTGTTAATTTAACTAGAGGAGAAGTATACACTCAAGACAAAAATTTAGGGGTTTTGACGTATTACATGGTAAATCAAAGCAATGTAAGAAAACTCGGTAAATGTAATTTGAATGTGTATCAACATCTGATTTTCATAACTGTGTTGTTATACGTAAGCAACTAACTTTTTCCATCCATCTTAAGATTTTTTATAGGGACAATATCAATGATAAAATTTGGTTAGAGAATCCTAGATAAAAAGTCTGAACGCGAAGACTTGAGAAAAGTTGCGATTATGTCCCTCACATATGAATTTACAATCAAAAGAAATAATATAGAGAGATATACATATAAAAAGACATATCTAGACACGACCACAACTGGTTGTCAAAAGAAATAATATAGAAAGACATATCCAAACATGATTAAGGGCCGAACCGGTCTTGAACCGGCTCGAAATCGGTTTGTGGTCAACGAGCCTTGAACTGAGTCCGTGGTTTGACCGGCCAATTTCGCGCCACATATATGTACTTTTTGAATCGTCGAGCCGGTTCGGCTCCAGAATCGGCAGTTCCGCCCCTTTTTTTGTTTATTATTATTTTATTTTTTTTTTGTAATGAACCGAGTCGGCTCAGAACCGGTGGTTCACCAAATTGGCCCGTGCATATGTTCGGGTCGTCCAACCCTTAGCCCGGAATAAGTTTTGGCCATGTCTAGACATATCCATTGCTACAATCTTGCAACTATCTTATTAGAATTGGATCACATAATCTATCCCTCATAAATGCACTAGTCTAAGGGTGAGATTGGTTGAAAAAAGGTTATTAGGCTTGATATAATCTTATTAAAGACCATCTACCAATTCAACTAGTCCATTAACTTATTTGATTGATGATTGATAATTATAACTTGTAAGTTGCGATTAAATTTCCAAATTTTGCCCCAAAACAATTTCAAATTCTTCAAACTATTTATACATTTTTCTTATTCTATTTTTCTCCTCCCTTTGAAATTACACTAACATATATATATAAAAAATAAAAAAGAGAAAAACTCGGAGGCTGTAGACGACTTCCGCCTGGTGGAGATTGAGGTTGTTGATGTTCTGCTCCTCGACGAGGGATTTGAAGGAGGGTTCGAGCTTTGATTTAAGGTTTTTTTGCTTGGAAATAGGGTTAGAAGAGAACGAGACAGGATCGTTCTGATGCTGATCGCGATAGAATTGATTCTGGTGGCGGGGGGTTTTGGCCTTGGCCTTGCGTTTCTCCTCTCGCGGAGGCGCTTAAAGAATTTTTTTTCGTCGACGTCCTTCAAGAGATTTTCCACTTCTTTCAGAAGCTCTTGTTTAAGGATGTCCATGGTTTTTTATGCGGCAATTGTTGGCCAGAGTTTATTGATGCAGCGATTACGTTTTTTTCGTCGATTTAGGGGCACAACATCGACTAGAGATGTGAGTATGTGACAAATGAGGGTATTTGTGTAAATTTAAAAATAAAATAGTGATAGATTACACATCCCACAAAAGATGTGAGATACATAATGCTGAAAGAAATTAATAATTTACAGGGCCATGACGTATTTCAGGGCCTCATTTATTGGAACCAAACATGCTAACATGATGGATATATTACGAAATTGTGGGATATCATGCAGAATCCATCCAACCAACTGGATTCTAAAGGTACTAGAGCTAGTAGTATAAAAGGTAATAGAGCTGAGTCGATATCATGTAGAATCCATCCAACCAACTGGATTCTAAAGGTACTAGAGCTAGTAGTATAAAAGGTAATAGAGCTTAGCACGAGACTCATAGAATATCTAATCATTATGAAAAAATAAATCATAATCATTCTGAATCGAAAAATAATCATTGACTGCTTAAATTTTTTTGAATAAATTGAAACAAAAAATTAATCGTTATGCTTTTGGAGATTTAAGATATATTCATACGAACAATAAAAAAAAATTGTCTCATATCGTACCATACCGTAAAAATCAAAATTAAGAATTAAACTATAACTTTAAATGTGCCATATCCTTTGATTTTAAGTCAAATTTAGTATATAACTGTTTAGGTGTTTCATAATATTTAGTAACATATTACTAAATAGTGTATATAAATTTATATTTTGAAAAGTTGATTAATTATATTTTTTCGTTTCTGTCATTCCATCTTATAATTAAGATGATATGCGATTTTTGGAAAACTATTTAAGAATTATATATATTTACTTAGGATTAGTTTTTACCACTATGTTTAACAAATATAACCTTAACTAATTTTGTGATTCGTTTCTGTTTTTTCTAAATGTCGATTTTATACGATAATCTTTAATAAGATTCAAGATACATAAATGTTGAAAGTTTCAAAAAGAATATACTGATATTTCATGGCAAATAGATTTTTTTTTTTTTTAATAGATATTTCATGGAAAATGGGTATTAATTTGAAACAAAAATATAAAATAATAAATTTACTTTATTATTGTAACTTAATAATTACAAATTTCGTTTATCTGATTTGAATCGTATGTGTATCCATCCAAACCGTCTCCATATGTAGCTCCAAATCTATATAAACTTCATCACATATAATGATCTATAGATCAAACCATCTCATTTTTTGGTATGGTTGTGAATATGAAGTATTGATTATCTCTGATTTTCGATTGACTACCCAAGCCTACTTCTGATTGGTACGTCAATTTACTTTTATAACCATATCATCAAGTTACGTAAATGTATGATTTACATAAACGAAAAGGACTTAACACATTTGAAGATATAATTCAGTTCTTATGTTCGTTAAGCTATGAAATATTCAGCTTGGTTTTTGGTACGAACATTTATAAAATCTCAAGAATTCTATAACATTTTTTTCTTTTTAGTTTGGATAAAGTCAAACGATTATTGGTTATTTTCTAGTTGGAAGTTATTTCGGTTAGATTTTTGAAATAATTTAATATTTTTATAGTCTCATGCTTAGTCTTACTTTATATATATGTATTTTTAAAAGTTGGTCCATAAATTTAGAATAATAAAAAAGTATTCCTTAAGAGCATTTACAATGCATTAGACATAGTCTTGTCTATGTGGCATGTAAATAAACCCAAGTACATGGATAATAACTATGTAAAATTAAGAAAATCCACTCCAATGCAAAGAGACTAGGTCTCTACTTGGGGAGACCGGGTCTCTTTTTCTGGCTGCCACATCAACAGGACTCAGTCTACTTTTATTTGCATTGAAGATTATATTTTCTCAGACTGAGTCTATCTCTGAGGTGACATATTTTTTTCAGATTGAAACCAAAGCATTGTGGATGCTCTAAAGAAATTGCATGACTAAGTTAGAAAGACAACGAAATCTTTAAAAGCCAAAGAAATATACTCTTTTGTACACCCTTCAAACCTTATAATCATTAGTTCATTACTATGAATATTCTTTCTAAAATTCTAATCGGTAAAATCCTTCTATAAATAGTACAATGTAGCATCTCTCATGGCCTCAACCAAAAACCAAACATGAATATCTCTCAAATAACTACTTCCCTTCTCCTCCTTCACATTATTGTTCTCTTCACTTTTTTCCCTTCCAAATCATCATCCTCACAAACAACTGAACTAGATGCCCTTCTGAAATGGAAAAACTCCTTAAAACCATCCTATTCTCTAAACTCATGGTCTAATCACACAACTCCATGCAGATGGCATGGCATTAAATGCAACAAAAATAGCTCGATTACTGAAATCGATCTACCAAGTGCAGGTCTCACCGGAAACCTTGACCAATTCAATCTCTCTTTAATCCCATATCTCCATGATCTCTACTTGTACAATAACAGCCTCTCCGGAAAAATTCCCAAATCCTTATTCACTCCAACATCTAAGCTCGCATATCTTAACCTCAGCTCAAATTCATTCTACGGTACCTTGTCTCATATTTTCACTTCTTCTACATGCCAGTCACCTAATCTACAATATCTCGATCTATGTAACAATTGTCTTAATGGGGCAATACCGTATTCCTTACCCTATGCACTCAATAATCTACTATGGTTAGAACTTGGTTCGAACTCTTTCAATTCAAATATTCCTCCCACTTTCGGCAAATTTAGTAAGTTGTCTTACTTAGGTCTTTCGAATAATCACTTCTCGGACACAATCCCCTCAGAGTTAGGTAACATACTTAGCTTGACGAGCTTAGACCTTAACACCAATCAGTTGTCGGGCACAATCCCCTTGAAAATCGTAAACCTCACCAAACTCGAATATCTTCAACTTTTCTCCAATCACATCAAAGGAAAAATACCCGACGAGATCGGGAATCTGAGGTCCCTCACGAATCTCGAACTCAACGTCAACCGATTGGCCAGAAATCTACCGGATTCCATCTGTGTAAACTTACAAACCTAATCCGTCTGGCAGTTTCCAACAATCATTTGTCGGGAGAAGTACCAAAATGCCTGGGATTGAAAATCCCCAGGCTAGCTGACGTCAGCTTATCGGACAACAACTTTTCGGGCCGACTGCCGAGAAAACTGTGCCAAGGTTTGGCATTACAAGTAATCACAACAGACTTCAACAGCTTTTCGGGCCATTGCCAGACTGCAGAGGCGGATGTAAATATAAGGNATATAATAAATTGAGTTAGTTTATTATTCTTTACATCATTAAATTAATAATTAAGTTAACATCATAAAAGATGAAAAAAGGGATGGGATTCTGCACACAAAACTGCTTCGCCCTTTCTTTCTCTCTTTTGCTTTAATAAGTATATATAATATAATAAATTAAGTTAGTTAATTGTTGTTTACATTATGATACATCATAAAGATAAAAAAAGAATGGGATCCTGCACACAAAATTGAGAAGACAGAGGCGTTGAAGGACGAGAGGCAAACGGCGAGAGGCAAACGAAAAAAAAAAATCACATTAATGATCGATTGAAATTTGAGCATTCATCACCCGATTGAGAAATTATATTTGTAAGTACTTTTATTTACATATTTTTCTATGATATTATTTATTTGTTTTTTTTATGAGCCAGGCCTCGTCTTATGTTTTCAGGTTTGGTTTTGTTTTTCAGCATTGAGGGAGTCAACCATTTAGGGTTTATCAAGTTGAATGTACCAAGAATCTAGATTGATGATCGATTAGGTTGAAAATATATGATTTTCAAGCGTAGTTTGAACAAGATTAGACCGATTTAATATAAGAATCTCTATTTTTGCTCTTTAATGTTATAATCTTCAAGGCAATAATGCTCAATTTATGTTCTACATCTAGTTCTGTTTTTTAATAATAAATAAATAAATAAATAAATAAATAATTTGTCTTATATTCCTCATCTTAACCACTCAGAAGTATTCAATTGCTTAGACAAGTTTCTTCACCTGGTTCTTAATTTTATGTAAGTATGCAATATTTTCATGTTTCTATAGAAATGGAATAATTAATAATTTTTCATATTTCTATAGAAAGGGAATAATTAATAATTCTTTGAAAGAGGACCATTGTACTAATCCAATTAATGGTATGAATGCTTGAAAATAAGTAAATTTGATATACAAATACTTTGTATATATTGAATATTGATTAGAGCTTGAAAATCACTTTATTATATTTTCTTATATTCTAAAATCGTAATAATATTTTTGTTTTATTTTTAGGGTATGGGGAAGTCATCAAGAATTGATTCATTTTTCAAAAGAAAGCATGATCATGTTGCTGAGGCTGAGGAAAATAATAGAGGACCACCAACTGTTGAGAAAGTTGATGGTCATATTAAAAAATCTCTTAAAATCGGGCTGGTGGTATTTGATATTAACAAGCTTGAACGTGACCCAGGATTACGTATACCAATATCAGATTATCTCGTTGATAAAATTGATGAAGTTCGACGGGCTTATATTAATTATGGCCCTTATCAATACATTGGAGAATATCCGTCGAGCGGGTCTAGAAAATATTCTCGTCGTTTTCAAGCATCGTGGTTCAAGATATTTCCCTCTTGGTTAGAATACTCTCCTACGAGTGATGCTGCATTTTGTTTACCTTGTTATTTGTTCAACAAACCAAGTAAGCATCACAGTCAAAATACTTTCTTTGTTGATGGCTTCAGAAATTGGAAAAAAGGTACGAAATGGGAAAGACTGTGCATTTTTTAATCACATTGGAAAAGATCATAATTCATTGCACAAAATTGCCGAGAAATCATGTGAAGACTAATGAATCAAGCACAACACGTTCAGAAATTTATTGAAAAGCAAAGTTCTGAACAAATTGCAAAAAATAGATTACGGCTCGAAGCCTCGATTGTTGCAGTCCGGTATCTTGCGAGTCAGGGTTTGGCTTTCAGAGGTCATGATGAAAGTAGAGAGTCTCTTAACCGTGGTAATTTTCTTGAATTTTTGAGTGCTATGTCTAAACTTAATGAAAATGTTTCAAATGTTGTATTAGACAAAGTACCTCAAAATGCATCGTATACATCCCCGTATGTTCGGAAGGACATTTTACTTGTTATGTCAATGAGGATCAAGAAAGTGATTCGTGAGGAAATTGGAGACGCTAAGTTTTGCATTATTGTTGATGAGGCCAGAGATGAATCAAAAAGGGAGCAAATGGGTATCGTTTTGAGATTTGTTGATATTGATGGTTTTGTTCGAGAGCGCTTCTTTGATCTCGTTCATGTGTCTGATGCGAAGGCGGTAACTTTAAAAGATGCAATATTTTCTACTCTTTCTCGTCACAATCTTGACATTCAAAATATTCGGGGTCAAGGATATGATGGGGCGAGTAATATGAGAGGTGAATTCAATGGGCTACAAGCATTAATTTCTAAAGAATGCCCATTTGCATATTATGTGCATTGTTTAGGTCATCGCTTGCAATTGGCGTTAGTTGGCACATCTCGAGAAGTTATCCCCGTCCACCACTTTATTACAAAATTAAATCTCATTATTAATGTGGTGGGTTCTTCCTGTAAACGCGTCGATGAATTGAAAGCGGCTCAAGCTTCTGATATTGCTTACTTGATTTCTATTGATGAGCTAGAAAAAGGGACTGGAAAAAATCAAGTCGGGAGTTTACAACGAGCAGGGGATACGCGTTGGGGTTCACATTTGAGGTCGATTTCTAGCTTGTTAAAGATGTTTAGTGCTGCTTGCTCGGTTTTGTTATGCATAAGTGATGAGGGAAATTGCGATCAACGAGCTGAAGCTGATTCAACTTACACTTCTTTAACTTCATTCGAGTTCATCTTCATCTTACATCTTATGAAGGAAATCATGGGAATAACGGATACGCTTTGTCAAGCTCTACAACGAAAATCTCAAGATATTCTTAATGCTATGCATCTTGTTGGGACGACAAAGAGTCTTATCCAAAAGATGAGAGATGGTGGATATAACAGTCTCTTAGCCAAGGTAAAGTCTTTTTGTGAAAGTCGTGCAATAGATATGCCTGATATTAATGCTTTATATGTTGAAAGAGGAAGACGATCTCGGAACAAGCAAAATCTATTTACAGTCGGGGATCATTACCGTATTAATATTTTTACGGTTATAATAGATTGTCAATTGCAAGAGCTAAACAACATGTTTAGTGAGCATGCTGTGAGGCTACTTGTTCTTAGCTCTATGTTCGACCCCGCAATTCTCGGTTATCTTTTAATATAGATGATGCTTGCCTCCTTGTCGGTGAATTTTATCCTAGCGACTTCACGGATTATGACAAAAATTTACTGCAAGGTCAATTGAAACATTACGAGATTGATGTCCTCCAGCATTCGGAATTTCAAACTTTGGATACTATCTCTGATTTGTGTCAATGGATGGCAACAAGTAGAAAGTCTTTGGTATACCCGTTGATTGATAGATTAATAAGGTTGATTCTTACTCTTCCTGTGTCTACAACGACAACAGAGCGTGCATTCTCGGCTATGGTTATTGTTAAATCCAGACTTTAAAGTAAAATGGAAGATGACTTTCTTCTAAATTCTTTGGCTATCTTCGTCGAAAGAGAAATTGCAAGATCTATTATTACTGAGTCAATCATTGATGGGTTTCGTGATTTGAAAGAACGTCGAACAGCGAAGTTTGAAAGGTATGTACTTTTTAGCACAATATTTTTTTAATTCCAAAATTACAACTTTATATCTTTGTTGTTGTTAGCTATATGTCTTTATCGAAAATTATCTCGTCTCCCCAATTTATTTTTCTGGATCCGCCTCTGGCCAGACTGCATCAAGCTTTGTAAGAACCTTAAGAGGGTACGCCTCGAAGTGAATATGTTCTCCGGAGATATTAAAGACTCATTCGGTAACCACACGAAGCTCAAATTCTTAAGCCTTAGTAAAAATCAATTCAGGGGCACGATCCCGCGCAAGTGGGGCCAGTTATTAAAAAGCATCACGAAAATCCATATGAGTGACAACAGGCTCTCGGGCCCAATTCCAGGCGAGTTAGGGAGTCTGGCCCAACTGCGCGTTCTGGATTTGGGCTCCAATAAATTAACACAGGTAAAATTCCTGTTTAACTCGGGAAACTAAACAGGCTATTTAGTCTCGTACTTGTAAACAACCTTTTGAACGGAGAAATTCCTGGGGCCGTGGGGCAGTTGGGAAGGCTTCAGTTTGTTGACCTCCCGCGAAATAATTTCAACGGCGAAATTCCAAAGGAAATCGGGAATTTGAAGAGCTTGCTAAGCTTGATTTTGAGGGGTAAAGCTTCGTCGGGGGAAATTCCGAAGGAGATTGGGGATTTGAAAAGCTTGCATTATTTGATGGACCTCAGCCAGAATTTCCTTTCAGGGGCAATTCAATTCCGTCATCATTTGACGTGTAATAATTTGGGTAATGCAACACAAATATATATTAAACTACTATAAATTATATCGTGCGGGAGTACGAGAGAAAAGGTGCTCGAGATAAGAACAAAATTCATAAAATCATTATATATGCTCAACCCAGGAAACCTATTAGATAAATAGTAATGATTATATTTTACAGTATCATCAAAATTGATTCGGCTAAATTCTTAAAAAAATATATTAATAATAATAATTAAAAAAATCATTTGTTAAGCAAGTGTACCAAAGTATCCATCTGAAATTCGTACCTTAACTTGCACATTGGATCCTTTGTAACGAGTCTGACTAATTATTATTGTATTCATCTTAATGGTAACTACAGTTATGCTTTTATAAACCAAATTCGTGAAATAAAAAATACCCAAAATATAGAAAATATATACACTTATTTTAATATAATATTATAAATAATATCAAGCAACAAGATATTCAACATGTAGTCAATATGATATCATGCAGTAGAGAATTTTTTTCCCCAACGATTACTTCAACTTTATTAAACTCAAGAAAATGTACAAATGGGTAATCAACTGATTATAAAGAATCAATTTCCCAAATACCAAGTAAATAGAAGAGGAACCAAAGGGAAAACTGAACATTCAGTCCCCTCCAAAACCATCCTTGGCTAACAGTCTAGCAGTCTACTAATCTGGCTAACAGTCTCAATACAAATAAAAGAGCAAGAACAGAAAGAGATTACCAAAGCAAAAATATTCTCCGCAATTAAAGAAAGAGACAACCTCATGAGCTGATTTGGCTG